TAAATAAATAAATAAATAAATAAATAATAATAGAAAGGAATAAAAAAAGGAAAGTTCCAAAGAGTTTTAAAAGGACTCACCTGACCATTCTTACAGAGGTCTGCCCACATGCTGGTTCCGTCCCCTCCTCTCATCAGCACGTGGTAAATGAAAAAGTATGTACCTGGGATGCTGCAGATGAACTTGCCCGAAATGCCATCATAGTTGTTGCCCAGGTTGGTGACCACGTCGTCAAACTTTAGGATCTCGTAGCCTTCGTGGGGGTTTTTAAGCCCGGCGTAGAAGGCCACCCGAGGCACTGTGCTGTAGGTGGCGGTGCTGATAGCTCCATTGCCCCCAAGACCCAAAATCCCAGTCCTCCCATGATCCCCTTTGTCACCTGGAGGCCCAGCTGGCCCCGGTGGTCCTGGCTCTCCGGGTGGCCCGGGTGGTCCAGGTGGTCCGGGCTTCCCGGGCCTGCCGGGCTTCCCCTGCGGGCCCTGCAGCAAGGTGGAAGGTGGAAGCACGTTGCTGTGGTCAGTCAATGCCTCCGCTTCAGCCTGAAGACCGGTGGAGCTCGTGCTGCTGGCCGGGGTCCCCTTGTTCAGGTAGGGGTCGCACACCATCCGACAGGTGCCCAGCATCTCGTAGTGGCCCGCGTCGGAACCCACGGAGCTGACGAGCACAGGGATGAGCACCACCAGCACCAGGACCAGCATAACCCCCACGGCAGCCGCCACCAGGGTCTTCCTCCCGATGCTGAGTCGGGGAAGGGGCTGCGCTGCCAGCGTGGGTCTCCCGGGGGCAGAAATGGTGACTGCTTGGTGTGGGGAGCCTGTCACCGAGGAAAGGGACCCACAGATCCCAGGAAGAGTTGCAAGAGGAGCGGCGAGTGTGTGAGGGTGAGACAAAGACCCACATACACTTAATGCAGCTCGCTGCTCCACTCAGTCACACTTAAGTAGGCAGACAGTCAGTCAAACATACAGAAAAGACTTAAGGAAAGCCCAAGCACACACGGGGAGACATTCGGAGCGTACTTACAAACACAATGTGACTTGTGAGAAGAAGCAAGAAGGATGCAGAGCCCAGAGGAATGGAGTGAAAGACAGTGGGAAGGAGAGAGAGAGAATAATGAGAGTGGGTGAGCGTCAGAGACACAGAGCAGCCACTGTGTGTGTGTGTGAATGTGTGTGTGTGGGGGGGGTGAGTTTGTGGTGCCGTGTTCTCAGTCTTGGCTTTTTATATAGCAGAAGCTGCCGAGACCCCCCTCCACCGCCCCTCTGCTCTCCCATCGAGTGAGAGGTTGGTGTGGTTACATCCCCCTTTTCTCTCTCCAGCTCACAGATGAAGGACTCGCGCCGTCCTGAGTTTCTCCCCACCAGTCGCCCGAAACATAGAGGAGCACAACACAACACCCGGACCACCTTCAGCTTCTCTCCCCTTCCCCCAATTCTCATGGTTTCGCACCCTCTCGCTCGCTCGCTCTTCTGTCTCATCAGCATCCAGCCTCTAAAAATAAAGACAGAGCCGTGGAAAGACAATCCTGTTTTTCTTTCCTTTTGTTCCCCCTCTCTTATTTCCTGAAGGTGTGTTTTAAAGATTTATGCATATATGTGCAAAGACAACACTTAAATCTGCCAGAACAAGAAATGCAGCAACTTCTCTAATAAAATGTTGCTAAATACAGACATAATCCAACAGACTGAGCCTTAATGCATTTAGACATTCATGTAATTGTGCATAAAAACTGAATGAAAACAGATTTAAATTTTAGTTTTGTTAGGAGTGATAGACACAGGCACTCCCCTTTTTCTTCCCTTTTCTCCAAGTCAAGCACCCAAATGTGCTGAAGCAATTACTTATTGGTGTCTTTTTTAGAGTATTGATCTCATGGTTTTTATCAAATTAAGAACGCTGTTTGGGGGAAAAACCAAATCAATACACAGCAATGATGTAATTTGTTTGACATTTTCATCCCTTGGAGTGATGAATGTTTAAAAGCGAGAAAACAATAGACCGAGTGTGCAGATGGTGAACATTTATTATGAATGGTTTGTTAAGTTTCGAGACTCTTAATTTTCAGTATTTATGGTCTAATTCAGTTCAGAAATTATTGTGACAAAAACAAGAAGAATGGACAGAATCCATCATGTCCATGTCAGAGCCAAATGATTATCGGGACATAGAAAAAGTAAATAGATAAAAACTTTAAAAAAACAGCCTACAACATAAATCTTTCTTTAAACAATTAAGAGACGAGCAATTCTGAAAGAAATGCATACCCACTGCTTTTTATTTCAGGCTTTTAAGAAAAGATCATCTTGAGTTACATTTTGGTTTAACCTTGAAATAAAAAAAATATGCACAACCTCAATATTGCAATGTCTTGTGTGATCTGTCCTTAGAATGTGTGGTTTGAATGACAGAAAACTACTCACACACCAACGTTTTGTGCAATATCTGTAAGTCACTGAGGTGTAGCATTTTCTTTGTGTAGATAAAGTCAAGTAGCTGCGGTGGCCATCTTGAACTGAGTCCAAATTTGAATCAGTTGTAGAGGTTCCTGTTAATCAGAATCAGACTCACAAATATACAAACCCTACAGAACGGCTTCTGCACCATATGATTGGCAGAGGTTATCGAGTTATGTTTCTTATCTCACATCAACACAAACTGTAGCTCACTTGATGTACATTTCTTTTAAACAAAGTTCAATCCTACCTTTACTAACAATAGAAGTCCATGCACCGTTCACTATATCCCATCTGAGTCCAGATATTGTCACACATTGAAAATAGGGAGATAAAGTTTCTCTCAGAACATCAACACAACCACCCCTTTTGTTTGAGAAGAACTTTTGTCTCATCTTTGGTGTGGGTCTTTCTTCATTTTTACCTGCTGCCTCCATTGAAAGTCCAGTTTGGATACTGTATTTATTCAAGTATAATACGTAAAATTAAATCCACAAAATCATCCATAAAGTTGGGGGGTAGTACTATACTCGGATAAATATTTTTACTTATGTATTTTAACTGAAATATCAGCTTCATGCACAAAATGCCTGAGTCCGGAAATGAGACCACAACGTAAAAAGCAGTTGAAGCGAGCTCACCTCTGACACTCCTCCATGCTTCAGAGCGAGATAATAACAGATCCAGGCAGGCGACATGATGTGAAAAAAGGGGGTAAAAAGCAGTCCTGCACCTTAGTAACGATAACAAACTAATGACATTAGCGTGTGATTGAGCCACTCTTGGAACAGCAAAAAGCACATGTTTGTCTGTAATGGCTGCCATCTACCGGTGTTCTGAAAAAGTTTGCATCCCTGAAAATATGTTTCCCCACCAGAGGGGGGCCCTCGCGAGTAGGAAGTAATCTGCTTTCGCCCCACAAGATGGCCCAAATCTCATGTGAAGTCTCTGGCTTTACTGTTGGCGCCTCCTGGTGGACTATGTCTAAAATGCCAGAATTCATATGGTGCTGTTACAGCTGATGATATACTGTATATTTGTTGTCAAAATACCTTTTAGTACATATGTTGTTAAAATAAAATGAGCAGTCCAATGATCATTTTACTGATATGTATAAAGACTGCAAAGGCTGAAAAATCTTGAAGGCTGTATGAAATTGGAGGTAGTTTGAGGATTAAATTTTTTATGCTTTTTAAGCTCAAAAAGCGGGGTGGTCATATTATACATGAGATCATATCATACACAAATAAATACGGTAATTGTTTGAGCTTGAAAATATATAATTCTCTATATTCTAAAAGGTTTGGCAAGAGGAAACACAACAAATTAATCTCTGTTGTGTTGGGTCTGGTTTAAAATAATTAGGTAATATTTCAGCATTATAGAAGGAATTAATCTAAATTGGCCTCTTGTTCTTAGGTTGACTTTCTGATCTTAAAATGACCCTTTGTTCTTGTCAAGTAGAAAAAGAGGAAGTCACATAGAAGCTTGCTCTTTGCAGAAGTTAACCTTCTGGAAAGAGGAACCTTGTCTCGCCAAAGCTGGTGAACCAATTTGAGTGTCTCAAGACTTTGTCCTAATTTTTTGAAGTTGTTTTTCTTATTTTTAGTGCACACTCAGCAGTAGACTGTAGTTTGTCCAAATAATTTCACAATGGACTCCTGTTTAAACTTCTACTAGTATCTAGTAGTAGTAATCTATCAGGATTTACCCAAGGACTTTCAACTGAAGTAAAGTTCTGTCCCTATTTGTCACAAATCAGCAGATGATGGTGATGTAAGTGATATCTTCTGTGTTTAGTATTGCTGTTGGGCATGGACATGATTTGTCATTTAGCACAAAGTAATGTTGAACAACAGGATGTGATCGACTACCATGGAGGCGAGCAGCTTCGAGCACAGCACGACTTTCCCTCTCCACAATGCCGGCCTCGGGAAGCAGCGACGGACACGCTTTGGCACAAGTCTGTTGCTACCAAGCCCTCGGCCGGAGTGGCTGCACTACAGTTGTGCCATTGTGCATCTGCTTAAGGCTGAGTCACACTACAAGATTTTAAAACAGTCGGCCGATTTTCAAAGACTGAGAGAGTCCACACGTGGGGATAAAAAATCCTGGATATACCAGGTTTGGTCCTACAGTGTGTGATTAAATTTGTCTTTTCCACATGTAATTCATTCAGTTGGGGGTCTATGTAAAGTGAAACTGGTCTGAATTTCTTCTTTTTGTAACTCCACAAGCCGCCCCCCCCCCCTCCTTTTTCTGAGGCGTGTCTCAGATCAATTCGTTTTGAGGCTGTCTCTTTAAATCCAAGCGAGGCAATTCAGACCCCGCCCCCCCCTCCAGCTTCCAGAGTGCTCCGTTGGTACTTTGGTAGAGAGGTTTACGACCATTTAGCTGCACAAAAACGTTTTATTTACAGTTTAATTAAAATATGTCAACAAGGGAAGATTTTATTACTCTGTAAGTAATGTAAATTCACAGTTTTATGTCTCAGATATTAATACTATTAAAAGCTAAAGTTTGAGGCTGTTTTTAGGGACTTTTAAAAGACAAACAAAAACTTTGGATGAGTTGTGCTCACATTCTATTTCTTGTTTTGTTCGTGTTTAATCAGCCAATCTGTTAAAACCGTTGCTAATTGTGAAATAAGCCTGCATGGTCATCGGTTTGTAAAAATCTGCCAGCTCTTCCTCTTTTTTTTTTTTTTCCTATTTCTGGCAGTAGATGGTTTGTGCCTGAGCTGGACTGAGAACTTGTGATGGATTGAGATGGATCAATGAGCAGGATGGCTGATTATTTGTCACCGGTGCACATGACATATCACCAGTTATTTTGCAGCATTTCTGATTCTTCATCATCATTAAACTTCAGTCTCACATTCATGGGATGGGTAGGTGGTTGTCTAATTTATCACGGAGCCGAGAGGAGGATACTAAAATAACCGGCGCACAGGTGTGACTGAGATGCATATTTGTCTGATTTGTTTTACTCCTCAGAAGAGCCATCAGGTTCGTCTATATGAGGAAGCACACAGCACCTAAATTGGTTTTGGGGTTTGTTCAGGGGGTCTTTGTTTGTTCTTCACACCTGCTGGCTGTAGCTGCTATGCTTGGACCCGATTCTCTATATCAGTGAACCACAGAGATCAATGCACACTGGAGAGGACAAATGGAGATTAATTGTGATAAAAGAGAGATAAAAAATGGGGATGAAAGCAATAAAAAAGGAAGAAAGACACAAATTGGGGATGTTGAACGCTGGAACAGCTGGTCTTTTTGATCAGTTTAGCTTTACTTGACAACATAGTGTGAATGGGAAGAATTCATCCGTCAGTGAAAGAAAGATCTACACAAAAATAACAAAATTATTTTCAAACTTAAAGGTGCCATCTGATAGATTTATCATTTTTCACTACAAACATTAATATGTGTTGTCTATGGTAAAGCTAAAGGCTGTCTCCTTTATTAC